AGCATTCAGAGGTTGAGGCAGGAGGATTTTAAGTTCAAGACTAGCCTGGGCTGTATAGCAAGACTACCTTACAAAATAAAACAAAAGTTGAATAAAAAGCAAAGTCTGCTTCTTGAGTGACAGTGTTCCTCAGGTCCTCCATCCCCCCATGTTGTCATCTCTCTCCTTTCAGGGGAAATGAGTGTTCCCTTAGCATAGGGTGTCTTCTTTTCTCTCTTAAACATCCAACTGAGTTCCTATTATATACTGAGTTTCATAGAGGGTATCATGTACAAGTAACTTTACATATATCATTTATTTTACATTCACAGCCACTTTGTAGCATTTGGGGTTAGATTCTTGACACCCTCATCTTAGAGAGGTCTATGCAGGTGTGAAGAAGGCTATGGTGCTAGCTGTGGGTGGGCTTTGAAAGCTCAGGGAAACATTTGATGCTATGTTGGGGCAAGTTGTAGGAATACGATTTACTCTGACCATATGTGCTTACTAACTGGGCTGCCTGACTTCTCTTTGCCTCAGTTTCCCCTTGTGTCAAATTGGGAAAACACTACCCATCCATTAGGCTTCTGTGAGGTGTCGAAGGAATTATGCTGTAAAGCTGGCTCATGCAGGGTAGGTGGGCACTAAAAGGTCATGCCTCAGTTTATCTACCTGTCTCACAAGAAAAATCTGAGTAGAGAGGTGAGAGTTGCATTTTGAAATGGAATCTTGTGGCTTGGTTCACAAAGGCTGGTGTCTGGGGAGTGTGAGGCCCCCAGGAGTAGAGCAGCAGTTAACATGAAGGGGTAGGGAAGCCCCTAGCACCTACTGTCTATCCACTTATACCTCTACTGTGTTTCTCATGAATAACATCTCCAAAAACTCCCACTTTACTTAGAATGAACATACAGCCTGTATGGAGAACCGTAAGGTCAACCTGCTCCCAACTCCATCTTGTTCTCACTGTTTCTTTATATGCTGTACCCCAGCCATACTGGTCTGTCCTCTGTTCCTAGAATCACTAACGTCTTTCCTAGCTCAGGGCTTTAGTGCTAGTCAGTCCTTTGGTCACCCACATTCTTCCTGAAGTTCCCAGTGCAGATGGCTCCAATGCCATCTTCAGAAAACCTTCTCTGCACCTCTTTATGTTTTACTCTTATCACAGTTCTCCTTGCAACACCCACCTAAGAGTTGTCTTCATACCTCTTGTCACTACCTGTCATCTCATGTTTTCTTGTTTATTGTCTGTCTGCAAAACACTGGAATATAAAGATGTAGGAGAGTGGAAGCCATGCTTGCTGTTCTCCACTCTTTATCCTCATTTTATGGCATGGATACAATGAGTGTTGTATGTGTACACATGTGTGTGCACAGCACGCATACATGATGCACATGTGCACATATGCATGACCATGTGTGCCTGGAGGGCAGAGGAAGGAGCAGCCATCTTCTACCTTGCTACCTTCAGCCAGTCTTTCATTGAACCCTGAGCTTCTTCCTTCAAAGTTCTGGGGTTACATGTTCACACGGCCATGCTGGGCTTTTTATGTGGGGGTTAGGGATCAAAACTCAGGTCCTTCTGCTTGTGAAACACACGTTCTTACTCACTGTGCCATTTCTCCAGTGCATGTTTTTAAGGGTGTAACACTATCCCTATATCCTCAATGGGACACAGCAAGTCTGGGATGAAGACTTTGGTCTGTCTTCCCTTGTGATTTGCTGTAGAAGACATGGGTCAGGTTTAATTTTTCCTTTAAACAGGAATTGTAATGTTGATAAACCTTCTTCCAGCAGAACAGACCCTTGAGATAGGGAAGAATCATTGATTCATCTCATAAGTGATTTTCTTGAGATCTGCCCACACTGAATAATTACTTGCCTTGTAGGCTGAGAATGTTTTCCTGGTGTTCCAACCTGGTAGGTTTGTTTTGTTTGTTAATTAGCTATTAATTGTAAGGGCTTCTGGGAATTGGAGGTTAACAAAAAACAGGAGGCCTCAGAGGTGGGCCAGGGGTCTAGAGCAAGCAGGGACCTCAGATTAGAATGAGGGTGACCTCACTGGGCACTGGGTTAATTCATTTCAAATAGTGTCACATATAGAGAAACTCCACCAGTTCTTGGGATGGTGAGCGATTTTGTTAATTAAGCCCTGTAAACACTACAGCTTAATTTCTAGTAGTAGAGCCGCAGCCAGTGGGTGAGAGCTGTAGCTATCGTTGGCCGAGAGCATCAGGGGCTGTCCTTGAAGAAACAGGTCACACATAGATATGGGGAGGCTGAGAGGGAAGAGAGCAGCTCAAAAGAGAGGACTTGACCATGGGTGTGTCCCTTTCTGCCCCCTCCCTTTGCCTCTGCTGCCTCTCCATTAGGCCCTGCCCTTGGGACTACCCCAGCTTGATGAGAAGAATATGCTTGTAACTTGAAGAGTGTTTCTGGGACCTCACCCCATTCTTCAAGAGGCTCAAGCCAGAAGCTTCTATCATGGATGTCCACCACTCTCTAGTTTGCCTCCCCTACACCTCACTCTTACCATCTCTGCTATCTGTAAGATTCAGTGTGTCTTAAGCACTCTTTCCTTTGGCTTTGCTAATACCTTTCATCTTCTCCAGTGGCCTGCCAATTCACCACTATCCTTCCTGGAAGACCCACAATAGTCATCTTGTGGGTCTCCCTACTGCCTTTATTGGCCCTATAATTCTTTCTTTACCCAACATCTGGCCTGACCTTTCCCAATCATGTCACTTCCCTGCTTAAAATTCTCCTGGACTTCTCCTTCCCTACATAAGGGCAACAATCCTGTCCGAAGTCTGTAAGACCCTGTTGATCTAATGCCCCCATCTCTTTCCAATCTCAATTGCCATTAGTACCCCTTCCACTAGGAACACTTTCTACATGTCTGTATCTATGGTGGCATGCTCTATGTTTCTGAGGTACCTAGTATGTGGAAGGTTGCACTGTTTCTACCAGGCCTCTAACCCATCTCAACAGGTTATACTAACCAGTCCACCTTGGTGGCAGTAGCTCCAGAGCTGGTCATAACAGCGGTGAAATTCACTCAGGCAATATGCAAATCAGGCTGAAGGGACTGGATCCTCCATCCTGAACTTTGCTTGCTTGGGGTTGCCTCTTGCTTCTGCGATGCCCTTTGCATCCTTGGATGGCTCATTCCACCTCTGTATGACTTTTTTCACTTGTCTGCTCAATGGCCACAATGACAGTACCTCTTCCATAGGGGTTCCGTGAGATTAAATGAAATAATGTGGTTTAAAGCAAAACAACCTAGCTTGCTGTTTTTATCACCTCCAACCCTACCTCTCCATCATCACTTAAGAGGCATTGTGTAATTCCCCACTCCTGATTCTTCTGCTGATTTCTTCTTTGTCTTCTTCACCTTCATTTCTCCGATGACCATGAGGAAAAACAAAGGCAACTATTTATGGAGGACATGTTGCATCCTGGGCACATTCATACATGTTATCTCATGAATCTTCTCCACATAGACATTTGCTTTCTACCTGTATCCCATGCCTCTCTCCATATATTAGTATGTAAAGTATCAGAAACTGAGGGGGTAGGGCTGCCTACTCCCCAGGCTAATTAATAACTAAGACATGCTAAGAATCCCAGTCTGTTTTACCCACAAAGACTAGTTGATGGAAGAGGAATAAAGAACTGTTTAGGTGGAGGGCCTGTGAAGAAGAGGTGACCACAAATAAATTTTATTTTTGTATAAGAATCTGCTTTGATATGGTTTATTATCATTCTAAAGGAGATTTCAGTTTTCTCTTCAGTTTCATTTTTTTATTGCTATTCAAGTCTTGATTAAAGGGGCAGAAGCACTTCATGATTTATTCCAGCCTCCTTTGGCAGCTCTTTTCCCATCTTCCTTCCCTATAGGGAACCACCTTAGTAGATTTTGGTATTTACCTGTATCCCAGTAAGACATATTTGCATAGTCCTTGTTGCTTTTTGAATTTACCTATTAAGTCATGGAAGACAAGCTTTCCTTCCCTTTCCTCTTCCTTCCTTATTTATTACTTCTCTTTTTTTTCTTATTTTTTATTTGTTGTTGTTGCTGCTGCTGGTTGTAGTGCTGCTGCTGCTGCTGCTGGTGGTATGTGTGCACACTTGAAAGTTCCTATTTATGCATGGGGAAGCCAGAAGAGGGCATCAGGTTTCATCCTCTATCTCTCTCTGCCTATTTTTTTGAGGCAGGTTCTCTCCTGAACATGCAGCCGTGTCTCAGCTAAGCTGTAAGCCAGCAAGTCCCATTGATCCTCTTGTCTCTGTTCCACTCCAGAACTGAGCATACCTCAGGTTGCAAGCACCTGAAGGGACACTTGATTTATAATTTGAGCCAGCATCCAAACTCTAGTCTTCATGGATGGAAATAGAGTACTCCTAACTATTGAGCCATCTCACCAGATTATCTATCTATCTATCTATCAATAAATAAATAAATCTATCTATCTATCTATCTATCTATCTATCTATCTATCTATCTATCTATCTGTACATGGTAGCATTCTGTAGCCCAAGCTGGTCTAGAAGTGACTATGTAGCTCAGGCTAGCCTTGAACTCATGGACTGTCTTCCTGCCTCAGTCTCTCACATGCTGACACTGGGTTGCAGCCATGAGGCATCATTCCTGATGGAGCCTTGACTTCCTTATTTTATCTACCCATGCATGTAGGACCTTCTCACACTCCCTTCTCTTCCATGGTAGTTGTATCATGATTCTGCTAAGATAAAACCTTAACCATCACATTATGATAGGTCTGTAAGCATTCTTCACACTGAGTCAGGTGGAAAGCCATTATCACTTTTCCTGTGTAACTTGTAATTTCCTTGAAGTTAATATTTGTACTTTGGGTTCTCTCTTTTTTTTTTTTTACTAAGCAGTATATTTGTGTAGCGCACACATGTATACTTGTTTGTATGTGTGTTGGGATGCACAAGCACATGTGCGTGGAGGCCAGCGAGTGGATGTCTTCCTTGACCAGTCTCCATTTTATTCACAGGGTTTCTCAATCGAACCCAGAGCTTGCTGATTTGGCTAGTCCAGCTCGTTCCAGAGGGCCTCTGCCTCTGCTGAGATTACAGGTGGGCCATCATACCTGCCTGGCTTTTAAGAGGATGCTAGGAATCCGAACACTGGTCCTCACACTGTGCAGCCTTACTTTTCCATTAAACCATCTCTCTAGCCTCTGTGACTTGAGTTTTAAAAGCATAGTTCACTATGTGATTATCATTGGTTCAACACCACACTCCTTGTTAGATGTGCAAGACACCAAAGAAGGCACTCAAACTCATCAGTTATCCCATCAATCTTTTCTTGGGGAGTGGCCCTCCCGGTTCCATTCTGGCGTAGTAGCCCAAGATGCATGCACAGTTGCCTTCCTCAGCCCTTCTATGATCTTGGGTTCTGTCATTTAGCCCAGAGTTGGATTTCTCATTTTCTGAATCTTACCTTCTTCTTTCTGGGGATGCATATTCCTCCAAGTGGAGGACTATCCCTAACTGTGGCTTAAGAAGGGACACCTAAGAGGTAGAGAAGCAATAAAAAAGCTTCTCATGTCTGAAAGTGTCCTTAAAGATTTTATTCCCATAGGTGACCCATCCTTTAGAATTTTGTTTTATTTATAAATCTAAATCTCCACTTTGGAAGTCAGCTTTTTTGTTTCTGCTAATTCTTGCTTCTTTGCATTCTGACCTGCACAGTTCCCTACCACCTTTAACAGAGATGACTTCTGTTGTCAATGCGATATTCCAGAAGTATTGACTATGGGGACAGGTGGCTGTCTTGGTCACCAACTCTGAGGGAATCCTGCTGGTATATATCATAAGGACATGCAAGCAGTCTTTTGGAGAGATTTCATGGGGAGAAACTGAGGCATCTCACCAACAGTTAGCAGCAGTTTTCCACCTGTGTGAGTGAATCTTAGAAGTGGACCCTCAGATGACAGATTGGCTGATGCTTTGATTATACTCTAATAGAAGACCCCGGGCCAAAGCTGCCAGCCAGTCCACTTCCAAATGCCTGTCCCACAAACCCTGTGTGAGATATGCATGTTTCTTGCTATTTTAAGCGGCTGTTTGGGTTGGTTGTTCTACAGCAATAGATACTAATACAAATTCACACCTCATCTGGTCTCTGATCCTTTCTTTATTGGATATCCACTTTGCCCCTCCCCTCTGTCTCCCTCCTCTCAGCTTGTAGGATCTCCTGTTTGTACCAAAGTTCCTACCATTTTCCCCAGTACTTCATTATAATATGCCTGGAGTGAGACTATTTCTGTCTTTGTTATAAACCCTTTCAATAGAAAAGGGGGAGAGCTGGAAATATTGGTGAGCCTGGAGTGATGGAGAATGCCCCAGATCTTCAGATGAGTCCACCTGGAGTAGGCAGGGAGGCTGGGTTGGTCAACAAAGATAATTCTCACTGTTTTTCTTTCTTAACCTACAGGAGTAGATACCCATGTCCCTGGACTGAGGGCGGGGCAGTCCCCTCAGCTAAGACTTTGGGGTGGCCATCCATGCTCCCCTCTTTGGTGTATTTGAATAGTAGGGGTGTCTTTGATGACTGTCAGGAAGAGTTATCTCCAGACAGGATCATAGACTGCCTGCTTTCTCCTGTGCTGGCCCCTCCTAATTCATTTTCCGCCTTTAATGTACTGTTGTGAAGCTTCCTCTCCCATTAGGGCCTGTAATGTGCACCGATTCCCTTCAGCTTGACTGCCCTTAATAGGCAGCGTAAATAGAATTTAGTGTGGCGTGCACTAACATCTCTATCCATTGTCCAGAGATTAAATACTTGCCACCAATGGTTCATGCATCATCAGCCTCAAGCCCAGCTTCATAGCTCCCAACCAAAGGAGGGTATTAAATTAATTTGCAGGTTGCTTTAGCAAAACCTAACAACAACAAAAAACCTCTATGGGGGAAGAAAGGGGGGTCTGATGCATCTGCTCCATCAGTCAAGGATGTGGGGGAGTTGTTAGGGACCAGGAAGAGTTCCTCTCTCTGTGGGCTGGGTTGCCCTGTAGGAGTACACTGCTCCACCACCTAATTCCATCCTAGTTCCCTGGCCTTGGCCCATGTTCAATACTTCTGAGATCTTCCCAGACCAAGGAGTGAAGTGGTGGACAGAGGATGGGGTGGGGGACTGTGGGGCCTGAATCCAAATTGCAGGGGCCACTTCATTCTTCTTAAGGGGATAACTAAAAGACTACAGTGAAATGCCCCTATCATCCTAGAGAGGTCCCTGAAATCCTGCATTAGGCTATTGGGATCCTCTAGGATTCCTTCTTATTGCCTGAGTGCATGTGAAAGTCTGAACTTTGTAACCTGAGCAGCAAGACAGCAGAGTAAAGGTCAGTGCAGGCCTCTTTCTGGGGTCTGGCTGGGAGAACTTTTTGTTGTTGTTGCAGGCCTTGGTTTGCATCATTGGCAGCAGTGTAGGAAGACAGACTTGCAAATAGACATGGATGACACAGATACAAGGGTCTGGAATCCTAAACTTCAGCTTTCCTCTGATTTAATAGATCAATGTGGGTACTAGGGGTGGGCAGTGACCTCTGATCTTCAAGAATAAGGTTATCTGACAAGAGGGATGGGAAGGTAGAGGGTTTGGAGGTATCTTGTGCATGGTCTTGTCAGGGAGCTGGGTTGTTCAGAGAAGCTGGAGAACACAGTGAGTGCCAAACAAGATGAGAGATAGGTTGGAAGGTAATCTTTGTTTTGGGAGCAACAAGAAGTCATGGAAGGACTTTCAACAGGAGACATGCATGGTCAGATGTGCTTTGTGGATCTCATTCCTAGGCAGTGTGAAGGTAGCTCTTAGGGGTGGAAGTCTGGAGGCAGGAACACACTGGGGAAACTCTTGAATGAGTCTGTGGGACAAAGGGCTCAGGAACTGTGCTACCATCAAGGACTGGAAAGGGTGAGTCCCAATCCTGGCTTGCAAGTCTCTGAAAGAAAGGCCCATACTTCCTTTTCTTTCTGACACACCCAGGAACCATAAGGTTGCACCCTTGTGCTGAGGCCCATGGGCACTAAGAAAGAAGAAATACCTGTTCTGAGGCCTACATTTCCAGAAACAAAGCTCAAGACCAAAGGGGGCAGGTAGGTGTGGTCTCGTGCACTGGACAGTTAAGAGGGAAGCTGTCTCCAACTTGTGAATGCACCCAGGGAAATAGTTAAGCTCCCAAATGCATTAGGGTGGCGATGGTGGGCTCAGAAATGGCATCATTCTCTAAGCTATTGCCATGCACCAATGAATCAATCAGGCCACTTTCTTGGGAGAAGGAAGGAGGGGAACAAAACCACTGGAGACATTTCTAGCCCAGACTATGTGCAGATACCCATGTTGGATAGGCTGGGTCCACAAGGCCATTTGCTCTTACTAAAGGTCATAGAGCCTGCCCATTCCTTTAAAAACTCCAAGCTGGCCAGGGTCTCTCTTCTTCCTGGGTTTGAGCCCTTTCCATTTCTTGGATCTTAGCAGATGTTTCTGGTTGGTCCATAGCAGAGGTTTTGAAGGCAAGATGTGAGAGTGAAAAGGAGGAGAGGCCTCGGCAATGGTCTAAGACTTCACTATGGGCTGCAGCTCCCGTCTGATATACTCCTCTAGTGACCTCCGCTCCTGTTGGTTTATTAATAGCTTTTAACACGATCATTTGGATTAATTGAAATGGGAGTAATGCTAATATGCCCTTATATTTCACTCCTTTTTTTAATTTAAAAAAGATGCTAAAAGCATTTATCGAGTAGTTCCTGAGGGAAGGAAATTAAAAGGTCTCCCCTCTGGCCACAGGGATGGTATTGTCTCATACCAACACCCCATACAGGGGTTCTCATGGTTCATTAGCGTGATTTAAGGTGTCCAGGTGACCCATTACAAAGCCATCAATGGGAGGGTGGTGGGCCACATGAGGGTGTTTTGGCTGATGGCCCTTTACTGAATCCTTCTGTGCCCATGTGTGACAGCAGTGTGGCTGGGTGTGACTACAGTGAGAGTGTCACCAAGGAAATGAATGGACACTCCATTCTTTAATCTTTCTAGTTGGAATTAACAGTCATAGGAAAACAGGTCTCATGAGCCTCATCTAGGGCCAGTACCCACCTCTTGGTCAAAGAGAATGGATGAGCAGTTTGCTTCTCCATCTTTCTGACTCCCACCCTGGTCATTCTCTTTGGTTAATAGGAAACACTGACTGATAATCAGAGAGTGAAAAGAGAGAGAGGTTAGAGTCTTTCTTCCTTAGTCCTTCCCTGCTGGGGTCTGTGTCAGCTCTAGCAGGCATTGTCTCTGTAGATACTGATACCCTTCTGGTCAGTTCTTTCCCAGTCCTCCATTAATCCCTGGACCTGGTCATTACTTCCTCCTTGGGGTAGTTTTGGGGTGTTTTCCATGCTGGTATTTGTTTTCTTGACTCTGCCTGCCTCTGCAATACTTTCTTTGTTAAAAATTCCTTCCCCTTTTGCCTTGTAGACTTTGGTTCCAGGTTTTTACAGTTCCCAGAATGGCTACTCTGATGCCATTATTCAAAGATAATGGAAGCCCCTGGCCTCCAAAGCTTCACCTGTACTTTATATTCTGGCCTCACTCCTGACTATATATTGTGGATCTGCCTTCTGTTTCTCTTGAACATGTTGGTCAGGGGCTGGGCTTTGGCTCACTCTCCCCTTGGCTGAGTGGAAATGGCTTTGCTCAGTTAAGTCCCATTCTTCTGGTCTACCTCATGTCCACAGACCTAGTCACGGATGATCCTGTCCTATCCAGGCAATTCCAGAGCCACGTTATGAACTTTTACTTTCATGTACACTTTCTTTTAGCCAATGGGCCTGATCTAGCTGATCTCCAAGGAGCACACCAGAATAAATATCAGTTACCAGGAGCTGCTTCCAAAATTACACCCCTTTCCGAGGACATGTGCATGCATGAATAAGCTTTCTGCAAAGTTCTACAGGTCACCAGCCATGGCACTGCAGGAAAACTGCAGGGCACCTGAGGTCCTCCAAGAGTCCTGAGATTCTGTGGTTCTTTATGGAGGAAGACTGTGTTTCACAGCCTTGGCACTGTTGGATATTTGGTAGGTTTGCTGGCCTCTACTCACCAGGAGATGTCCACTAGTACCCCATTCCAGCTCTGATAATAAAACACATCTCTTGACCTTGCAAATACCTCTAGGAAGCAGAATGGCCATGGTGTGAACCACTGGTTCAAAGTGATGAGCAAGGTTCATGTGTATGTGGCCATAGATTTCCCAGGACTCCTAGTGAACAGACTTAGACTTGATCCTGGTCAACCATATCTGAGCCCTTTGGGGCACAGATCTGCACAATTCTTGATTCATGATACAGTGGAGTCCTGTCCTCTAAGCCTTTATTGCTATAGTGATTGTCATCTCATGTATTCAGTGTCAGACGAGGCTTGAATCTGACGTCTGAGTGTGACAGCAGGATGAGAGCAGGGTTGGTGGGGGCAGGATCTCAAGGGAGTGTTGAAGGAAGGCATTGGGTTTTAGGTGACCAGGATGGATCTCTTGGTGTACCCCTGGGTGAATTATTAATGCTTTGTGTCTCAGTCTTCTCACTCTTACAATGGGATGAGACACATGAAACCTATGTCATAGGATTCTTAGATCAACCAGAATCCTGGTGGGAAATAAATAGCACAATCAAAAGGATTGCTTTGCAAAATCATCAGAGGGATTACTCATGTGGCCAGGGCAGAACTGAAATAAATAGAAAGGAACCGAGGCTCACCTGGGCTCCAGTGTGAAGGGGCGGGCGGTAGGACTGGAGGATGGGAAGCTGCTTCCCACTAGAAGCATCTGAGAATTGGGGTCTTGGAGTCCCTTGTCCTTGCTTGGATCTGTAGCCATGAAGGATACAGCCACAGCTGGGGCCATGTCAGGAGGTCTCATTGGCAGGTGCTTCCTGCTCTCAGAACCCAGCAACAGCTAGAGTCAGGGAGTCAATGAAGTGTAGCTTCCTGCCTGGCAGGTAACAGAAAAAGTCAGAGAAATGATCTTGGGAGGGGTGTGGTGGGCAGGTGACAGCCACTAGTACAACTAGGGGAATAAATGAGTGGACATTTGCCAAGTACGTAGGACAGAGTTTGTATATAATACTGATGTATGAAACTAGGTTAGCCTCTTGGGACAGGTGGGTGGCAGGGCATGATAAATAAACCCCTGCAAGCATGTCTTGTGGGAGGAGCTTGGGAGGGCCCATGACTTGGTTCCATCTGTGGGATTGTACCACTCTGGCCTCTTCTCATGGACACATCTTCTGAAATCTCACCTGGGACTCCTTGTCCTGGCTGGGTGCAACCATCAGTGTCAGTCACAGCTCTGCCTCCCCTGGTCCTACCTGACAGTTGACCAGAGACAAACATCCTTAAATCCCTGCTAGTAGGAGGTTAGCCTAGTCCCTGTGCTACCCTTTGAGTCCCATTGGTGTTGAATTGTCTACATACAGAGGAGGGAGTGTTCTTTTGCTTTCATGAGCCCCTTGAGGATAAATGGAGTGGTGAGTTCTAACTCTCATGGGGGCATATGCTTCCAGTTGCCTTTAAGGGGCCCATAACAGGGCCCAGGGCCAGAGAGCTTATGCTGGTGGCACTAGGAGCATCATCAGAGGCCTTTCTGATTGGTCCTGACTGGGTGATGGAAGGACTGTGCTCTGCAAGGACCAATACAGGGAAGGGTGGGTTATAGAGTCCTCTCCCTGTCCCATGGCTGGCGCCCATGAAGCCCAAAGGATCCCAGGATCCTCTCCCAGCTCTAGCATATCCTGAGCTAGGGCTATTTATCTTTAATCTAAACTTAAGTAGATCTCGTGTGTGTGTGTGTGTGTGTGTGTGTGTGTGTGTGTGTGTGTGTGTGTGTGTGTGTGTGTGTGAGCATGTGAGCATTTTTCTTCTCTTTCATCTTTCAATTCTAATCTGGCATCTCCTCCCCAACACCTGACTTGCACCCTCCTCCATGGTTCCCAAAGTAGTGGTTTGCATATTATTCTTATTCTTCTATGCTTCCCTTACAAGAGGACTCAAGTGTCCAAACTCAAACAGCTCTGGTTGGAGACTGTTCTGATCTAAGAACCCCTCTGGAGTAGGTGGAATGAGTCCTGGATCCTACTGGCCTTTGTTAAGGTTAGGGGCAGAGAGGTGTGAGAAATGGGCCTGGACTATGGCTGTGACTGTGCAGATAACCTTCTATACTGAAGTGTCATTGGTGGGATCATGATTTTAGTTGAGCATGTGCAAACCCTGTGCATAGCACCTGTTTTAGTCCATCTCATCTCCCAGTGGCCTATGGACTGGTACTGAAAATATCTTTTTGTAGATGAAGGAAGTTGGGTGGTGGTGCATGCCTTTAATCCCAGCACTTGGGAGGCAGAGGCAGGTGAATCTCTACAAATTCCAGGACAGTCTAGTTTACAGAGTAAGTTTCAGGACAGCCAAGGCTACATAGAGAAACTCTCTCTCAAGAAACCAAAATCAAAACCAAATCAAACTAATCAACCCACCAAACAAAAAAGACAAGGGAACCAGGGCACAGAGAAGTCAAAGCCTGGCAATTGTCACACAGCAACTGTGGGGTAGACCTGGGATCTAAGCTCCAGTCTGTCTGATCCTAGAGCAGAGCTTTCCAATGTTCTGTCTTTCTTTCAGGGTCCTGAGTTCCCATGACTGTGGAGGGTGTGGGAGGGGTGATGGTGGTGGTGGTGGCATCAGACCTGAATGGAGGGGACTGGAGCTCAGGAAGGAGGCTGGCTTGGGAATGTTTTCCACACACCCTTCCCCCCACACCCACCCCATGCAGCTGTGGAATGAGCCACATCTGTTACCACCACATGTTGCTCAGTGCTACGCAGATGTAAAGTCTCAATTTTTCTAATTAGCAGCAACGCGAAGTCTATCTTAATTTTCTCTTCCCCTCCCTCTAATAAACGTGATATTAACAAGGTTACACGTCTGCGTTTGTTGCTGGCTGTAATTGAATCAGGTTGCAGATTTGATTAGTGGGTGTGGGGGAGATGGGGTCTGGTCAGGCTGAGGGTCTGAGAGGAGGGAGGAGCTGGGTCCCTGCCATGGGTAGGTCTTAGGTTGGAGAAGAGGGAAGAAAGAGAGAGAGAGAGAGAGAGAGAGAGAGAGAGAGAGAGAGGGAGGGAGGGAGGGAGGGAGGGAGGGAGGGAGGGAGGGAGGGAGGGAGGGAGGGAGGGAGGGAGGGAGGGAAGGAGGGAGGGAGGGAGGGAGGGAGGTTGAAGAAGAATAGACAGAGTAGTCAAAAAGAGGAGAACCTCCAGAGACACCAGGGCTTGTCCCCTGCTGAGACTTTCCTGCAATGGTACTTGGGGAAGTCCCATCATCCTACCTCCTCTCCCAGGGCTCATGGAGGCTAAGGTACCCATTGCACTTCCCAGCTTGCATTGCCCTGCTAAGTCATAAGCTACAGGTTTGAGTTTTGACTCTTGGTGATCAAGGATTGGCCAGCTTCTTCTCTGGGTCTGGATTTCTTTATCTATTAAAAAATGATCTTTAAGTCCCACTGGAAGTCTGAGATTCTTCAGGGTAACCTTAGTTCTCATTCTTTTGGGCTGGGAAACATTACATGAGCAAGTAATGGGGGTGTTAGCTAACAAAACCCCAGTCGCAGGTGTGTGCATGCACAAATGACAGTTGTCAGAAGTGCTGTGGTGTCTGTAGCCATGGTGGCAGTGCTGCATTCCTGCTGTGACAATTTCTCCCGCTGATGATTCCATCCCCAGGGCCTTGGGAGCACTGAGAAGCTTCTGTCAAGGGGCACTGGCTTTTCCCCCCTTTCTTAAATGAGATATGAATAATTGATTCAGCTCCTGAATAATTAATCAGATATTCAATAAGGAAAGTAATTGTTTGGCGCGTCCCCCATAGATGACCTGGCTCAGCCACCACCCCAAGCGGGCTAGGTGGCTGGTGAGGGTTATGGGCCCAAGAGCTCAGTGCCACCTGGGGGAGGTCACCTTGCCTGGCACTTCTGCTACACCAATCCAGTTCACTGTCCCTGAGGAAGACAGTGTTTGTGTTCATAGTCACCAAGACTTTGTGTTTGATGGTCATTTTATCAATTACCCATATGTCCGGCTTTCTCATGTCCCTTCCAGGTCTGAGCTGGCCCCCTTCTGTGATAAGAGGCACTCTCTGGACACTATCCTCTTCAAGGTATGCTCTGTCACTGGTGTCCTCTTCTCCATCGTCACTATCTCCACCTTCCCGAGCGGAGAGGCCTGGTGCTGTTGCCCTCGTTCTGTCCTGAAGAGCTGGGCTCTATAGAGAACTACGCAGGGTATGGGTGGCTGACCAAAAGCCTCTTTGTGCTGTGTCTGCAAAAGCATCCTGAAGAAGGGCCTCTCGAGGGTCCCCCATGGGTCATCTTCTTGTAGGTTCTTGGAACGACTTCCCCATAACTCTCAGGGCCCGTGGCTTTGCAAAAGCTGGAGAACTGTCTTTCTGACATCTGGGAAAGGAAGGTTATGAGTTTCCAGACAGAGACAGAAGTCATATAACAAGCAGAGTGCTACCTGGGAGAGAATGGAATGCAAGACAGTGGATTAAAGAGTCTTCTGACTTTTCTCTATATGTGTTTGGGCATGTGCACATATTATGTAGGTGTGCATGTACATGTTACCATTTGTACATGCACACACTTGTTCAGACACACATGTACGCACATGCAAATACAACTTAATGTTCATACACACACATGATATCCATGTATGGGTACATGCATGTACTTCTCCACATGTGTAAGTATATAGGCACATTGGTGGTTATCTTAGTCCCTTCCTGCTGCTGTAAAAAAAACACCTTAGGCTAGGTTGCTTATAAACAGCATGAGTGTTTCTCCCAGTTTTTTTTTTTTTAGAATGAGGAGACCAATATCAAGATGTTGGCAGAGGTAGACTCTGTGCCTGAGTCCTTCCTTAGAGACTGCATTTTTGATGTTCTCACATGACAGAAGATGTGGAAGGGCCAGGGACTGTCTGAAGTCTCTTTCCTGTGTCTGAGGGTAGAACCTTTACTACCAATTGCAGCCTCCAAAAGCTCCTCTGATTGATATCACTTGTGATGAAGTGCCTCCATGTGAGCTTTGAATGCCACACATACATTCAATCCATAGAAGATTTGTACACTCGTGTGCACACCCAGCTTAGGGCAGGGTAGTAAAGGTCACTGGCATCCCCTGCAAGTCTCTTTGGGTATCCCCCTATAAGCACCTGGCTTTTGACTGTGCAGCCAGCCTGGCTGGCAATAAATGCTGAATTGCTGGGAGCCTATTGGTACTAGGCGTGGGATTTAAATTGGGGACAACTGGTGGTCAGGCTGGGTCATCAGTGGAGTCCTGAATAGACCTTTCCAAGCCTGGGTCTAGCAAGTCTGTACTTATTTATCTGGTGATTTTACTTTGAGTACCTTCTGTGAGTGAGGGACTACTTACCACTCTCAGGACATAACAGTGAAGAAAAGAGAGGAAACCCCTCATCCTGTTTTATTGTTGAAGCCATTTGAAGGGTATCAACAAGAGCATGACTATACTGGTTAGTGATAACTACTGAAGAAAAAAGTGAAGGCAGGGACTGGACTGAGACAGTTGGGGTAAGAGTGGAAGTTTGGACAGGGGTTCTAGAAATTCTAAGTGCTTGTTCAGACCCCATCTAGAAATTTAAATAGAGTTAGTTCCACCATGGGATGAGCCACCATGGACTGTGAGTTTACTGGAGACTCTACAGAGGGCAATGACACAGCCCCTGGGCATAGAGGGATGCACTCTGGACTATGGACATGCCAGGGAGCTAATTTGGGGCCCCCTGTGGCAGGTGACTTCTATCCTGGGAACATTCAAGGAGCCATTGAATTACAATGTCCTAAGGTATGCCCTGCCACACATTACCTCATTCCTTTGGGTAAACGTCTTAAATATTTTTTAAATTAACTTTATCATTAAAAAACTTGGAAATAAATAATATCACATAGAGAAATTAACCCAGGTGAGTGTCTCTTTTAAGGAAAAATGTGTATCATGCTGCTTTTTTCTTTATGTGTGTGGGACATAATGGCAGTCAGGGATATGCAGTAGGGATTTGTCATTCTAGTTTGCTGTCAAGAATGTCCTAGGATAAAATAAAACCCAACCTCCAGTAACTCCTATTTAAGCAGGGCAGGTATCTCAGCTATGGTGAAACATCCACAAACTGGCTCCCCTGAGTTCATCCTGGACAAGGACTCTTCTAAGCACTGTCTTGGCTTGAAAGTCATGTGGGGGAATATCTGACTCCTGCCAGGGCTTATGCAAGTTTGTTCCCTAGAATTTGAGGCATTTAGTTCTTCAGTAGAGGAACCAGGTATGTGATAGGAAGGCCTGACAGTGCTGAGGTAGATTCTTGTAAGATGCTGCCAGTGTCTCAACTCATATGCTCATGGGATATCTGGTCCACCTGCAGCTGTAGATAGCTCCTGTTATCTCTTGAGCCTCAGGTCTGTTTTCATGACCAACAGTTGTGTCTGCTCCCACAAGCACTGGGCTAGTGTCCCTCTGAAGCATGTATGAGAATAATGCCCAGGGTAAGCCTTCCCTGAAGGGTGACAGTGAGTTATCAGCTGACTTGCACCCTACCTGCCCACTGTAGTAACTTACTGAAAAATGCACCATTGGCAGCTGGCTTTCCCCCTTTCACTTTTGCTTTTGGGTTTCACTTCCCAGTTAAAGACCTCTTTTCAAGCTTTCACCTTAGATATTCCATTTGAGAGGCCGTGGGACACACCTCATCTACTTCCCATCTACAGTGATGGGAAAGGGATCTTGGCTGTGTCCTTTTCTTGGCTCCATCTCCTTGGGTTATTTTCTAGAGTTCAAGTGACAAGAGTTCTGCTTCTGACCCCAAGGACAATCTCAGTGCTCGGGAAGGTAGGATATTTTGTTTTGAGTCTAAACTTTTTATCCCCATCAGTGGAACAAACCTCATTTGTTAGACCTTTAGTTTAGCCTAAATAAATAAAACAAAACACACAAACCATCAGACAGACAGCCATTGTAGCTAAGACAGAATCTATACCCACTGGTAACCCTATTGGACTTTTCTCATCCAAATGCCAGGAGAAATAGTTCTCAGGGGCCCAAGTCCTTACTGGATTCTAAAAACCCTTCTCAACTCTCTAGACGACTGACTTAAGGCCAGCTGCTTGGCAGCTCCTTCTGAGTCTGGTCAGAATTCTCTGCAAAGATTTTCACATCTTACTTGTATGGTTGGGTGTTTTTTTCCACTGCCCACCTTGACCCATCTCTTATTGAGTTGGAAGAAAATACCTACAAAGTCTTCAATGCTTCATAAATCTAGATAGACCCAACCAAACAAGTCACTCTGAGGCTTGCATGGTATATAGCCTTCCTAACTGTATATAGCAGCCCTGCTCTTGTAAACAACCTATCCTTGCTGTGATCTCTGGTTCTGACCTCTACTTTCTCCTGGATTCTTGCTGCCTGCTGACAGCCACCTGCATCCTGAAGACTGGATGCAGAAGTCTTCCTACCATCATTTGCTGTCAGCAAGCACTGGAGAGTGAGTAGGAGTGGCATCCAGAATGTATGTCTGTGGCATAGGTCCCAAACTCAGGGGTCGCTTCTCATTTGCTAGTGGGCTAACCTCTGTGAGACACTGATTCCTAGATGCCTCCTAGACTGTGTTTGTTCTTTTTGCACACCTGCTGCCTGACTTTTTCAAATGTGATGGAGGTCTAAATCAGGAAGTCTTTGGGAAGATTTTAGGGGAACCCGGTTGCTAGAAGCTTCTGGAATTGGAGGATGCAGGGAAAGAAGGGTTGCAGCATTTGAGAGAGGAAATGCCACCCAGGGCACATCCTCTGGGTTATTTATGCATGCTCCAAAATGGCTTCGCACGCTGAGGCGCAATGCAATGATTTGTCAATGAAGGCTGCTCTCGCCCTCTGCCCCCGCCCCTGCCTCTGATAACATTTACAGTAAATCTATTGCACTGACCATTAAATCCGAGGCCGCCTCGAGCGATCGCTTCAATGGGGTGCTGACAGGCCGAGAGTTAATAATGACGCAGACGCTAACCTGTTTATTGATTTGCTTTTTGTACCCTTCATCCTTGCTCCCTCCTTCTCTCTCACGGAGGAGAAATCTTGGAATCAGTAATCAGGTGACAGTCTCGCCCCCCCTTCTCTTCCCAGCCATGTCATCCTGCTTAAACTCTCAGAGATAAATCGCCTCTACCTCCCCAGTCCCTGCCAGCCACTCACTCTCTAGTTACTCAGCACGAGATGCCGCATCTGTCACTGGAGCCAGCAGACAGAAAAAAACATTAACACAGACATGAAAAGCTTTTAACTTTGACAAGAGGAACACAGCAAAGTTTTATATTTAGCCCCTCCGGCAAAGGCCACGGCCAATCCATTAGAGTGGCTTGTCAGGCTCAGGGAGAGGTGGGAGAGGGCTGGGACCCTGGGGCTGGAATGTGGGGTTCCACCGGCTCTGGCTGGAGGAGTGTGGAGGTGGGCACAGGATGTTACTGTCCCCTTCTTCCTTAGCCGAGGGCCTGGGTGGCAGCTAGATGGCTAAGTCTTTAGGGCTGAGGGAAGACTCAGAGGCAGGCCTTCTGAGCTAAACTAGAGCACTAAGCCCACACACGTTAAGGCTCTAAGCTGTGGTGATAGCATGAGCCTAAAGCTGGCCTGCTCTATGGCCGCTGCATCGCCAATGTCTGCAAATAACAGCATTCTTTTGTTTGTTTTAATGGAAGTCTCAAAGAATATCAAAGTGAGGTGGCAAAGCTTAAGTTAAAAAAATTCTCTGTGTGAGTGGTTTCTGAATTTTCTTCCTCCTCTTCCATCCCCGTTTTTTTCTGCCCCTTTCCCTCTCCCCATCTGCCTCTCTCTCTCACACACAGCACACTTCCTCCCCATTCTCTCAGACTTCTTGCTGGCTCTTGTCCCTTCTTTCCTTCTCCAAAATCTCTGGCTTTCTCTCTTTTCAGAGAAGAGATTTCAGGCTGGGTGGAGGCACTGGCCTGTAATACCTTCGGCTTGGGAGGTTGAGGCAGTAGGATCAAAAGTCTGAGGCACTTAGTGAGTTCAAGGCCACCCAGAGCAACACAGTAAGACTTTTAAAAAATGTAGCTCAGTTGTTGAGCACTTAGCTAGCC